CATGTTTGACAGAGCAGTAAAGGTTTCCTTTGGCTGAGGCTGATGATTTCATTCTTTGTCAGAGTGAATAAACAAATATGAGTTTGCATAAATAGCCTGGAGACATATGTTTTGCTTTCATTTATACAGAAGATCAGTAATGTTGTGTCTGTGGACGCAACAACACTTCTTTTTTGTATGTATATGAAACCTCAGTCATACTTTCACCAGAAGCACTTTCCAAAATCCAGCTTTAACTCAAAACTAATCTAGAGTTTGTGTGTGACATCAGTAAACAGTGCAGATCGACTCTCACTGCCCAGCTCTCATGATCTGGACAACATGGCCTGACTGATTAACATCTATCTGAAGATCAACTATACCACAGAAATATGGATCAGTGTAATCACCATGGCTATGATACACCTATTATGATGGATCTGCACCACCCATTTTCATGGTTAAGCTACATGGTTTTAATATTACACTGCACCCATCTTCACTGTTACACAACACCCGTTTACATGGTTAATCTGGGTCTACACTCAATTTCCTTGGTTAAATTACACCTATATCCGTGGTTACGCAACACCCATTTCCATGGTTACATTAGGTCTACATCCATTTCCGATGTTACACCATCTCCACCATTTCCATGGTTACACTACACCTATTTCAGTCGTACAGCACACCCATTTCCACGGTTACAAAAAAATCAATTTCCATGGTAAAACTACACTTATTTCAGTTTTACACTATACTCATTTATATAGAATAAAATCTATTTCCATGGTTACACTACACCATTTCCCTTTGAAGTCATGCTATTAAAATGAAGAGAAGTAACAAAATTCATTAGAAATACAAAAAACTGTGGAACAGAAAAAAGAAAGTAAGCTGTTTTGTGACTGTATGTCATTCCTCCGAAACCAAAACTGCACCACTGAGTGTGTGTGTGTGTGTGTGTGTGTCTGTGTGTGTGTGTGTGTGTGGGTGGGTGGGCGTGTGTGTGTGTGGTGAGGGTGGAGTTGCACTAATAATGAAGGAGGTGCAGGAGACAAGCAGATCAAACAGAATAAACATCTCCAGCTCCAGACTGCTGAGGTGAACGAGTTCCTTCTGCTCACACACACACACACAAACACACACACACACACAAACACACACACACACACACACACTCCTATGCTCATGTGAGCTCTTAGTCTGCTCAGGATATTCAGATGTAGGTCAGGAGATTGGAAAAACATCAGGGGAAAAATTACACCATTAAAACACTGTCCAACACTAATACACTGATCTGTTACACACACACACACACACACACACACACGCACACACACACGTTTGTTTTTATACTTCATATATCAAAACAATAAACATATACCTCACCTGAATTAAAAACGTGTAATTATCTGTGTAATTATATGTAATTACAAGTTCCGTTTTACACACACACACATGACTAATATGCTGCTGGTCCTCCGTGTGCCCATTGCAGTCTTTTTGATGGTGGACAAGGGTCAACATGGGCAGTCTGACCGGTCTGCAGGGTGCACTGCTCTGTGTTTTGTGACACATTCCTCCCATAACTATCATTAAAAAATTCTCTGATTGTGCCACAGCCGCCCTTCTGTCGGTTGGGTTCAGATGGGATAACCCGCAATGAGCCTTGGGTGGCAGCTCATGGTGTGTCCCTCCTCAGTCCACTGTTAGTAGATACTGTCCACTACTGACTGGTGTCCCCACAAGCCATGCATTGAGATGCTCTGACCCCGTGGTCTGTCCAGAATTATTTGGCTCTTGTCAAAATCACTCAGGTCTTCACGCCGGCCCGTTTTTCACACATCCAACACACTGACCACAAGAACTGTCTGTTCACTCACCGCCTAATATTTCACAGATCTTGACTAATCAGCATTATTCGCTTTGTCTGGTCATAATGTTTTGGTTTGTGGATCTGTATGTAATAATAATGCCCCCTATATGTTCATATAATCCCCCATATATATATATATGCACCTATAATAACAATGTAATAACATACCCTTATATAATCTATATCTAATATCTATAGCTAATAATATGGCCCATATATGGACAAAAGTATTGGGACACACATCTTTATCACTGAATCCAAGTGTTTTATTCGGTCTCATTACCACAGGGGTATAAAATCAAGCGCCTGGCCATGCAGCCTGCCTTCACACACTTTAGTGAAAGAATGGGTCTAAAGAGCTCACCGAATTTGAGTGTGGTGCCGTAATGATGCCACAGTTGTAAAAAGTCAGCTCGCGAAATTTCTTCCCTCCTAGATTGTCCAGGATCAGCTGTGAGTGGTATTACTGAGAAGTGGAAGTGTTTATGAACCACAGCAACTCAGCCACGAAGTGTCAGACCACATGAAGTTACAGAGCGGGTTGGTGAGTTCTGAGGAGCACAGAGCATGAAAGTCTCCAACAATCTGCTGATCAATAACTGCAGAGTTCAAACCTCCTCTGGCATCAACATCAGCACAAAACCTGCACCGGGAGCTTCATGGCAGGGTTTCCATGCTAATATCACCTTACATCACCAGGCACAATGTGAAGTGTTGGATGGAGTGGAGTAAAGCGCCGCTACTGGACTCTGGATCAGTGGAAACGTATTCTGTGTAGTGATGAATCAGCTTCTCTATCTGTCAGTCTGATGGACGAGTCTGGGTTTGGAGAACGTTACCTGCCTGACTGCACTGTGCCGGCTGTAGAGTTTGGTGGAGGAGGGATGATGATATGGGGCTGTTTTTCAGGGGTTGGTCTAGAACCCTCAGTTCCAGTGAAGGGGAATCTTAATACTTCAGCAGAACAAGACATTTTGGACAATTATACACTTCCAACTTTGTGGGAACAGTTTTGGGAAGAACCTTTCCTGTTCCAGCATGACTGAGCCCCAGTGAACAAAGCAGCTCCGTAAAGGCCTGACTGGGTGAGTTTGGTGTGGAAGAACTTGACTGGCTCTCACAGAGCCCTGACCTCAACCTCATCCAACACCTTTGGGATGAACTAGAACGGAGACTGTGAGCCAGGCCCTCTCGTCCAACATCAGTGTCTGACCCCATTTGACATCCATATTTCCAGTCATTTTGGAGCATTTCTGTTGCTCCAATCATCAGTAAATTGCAACAGAGTGCAAACAGCAGCTGTCACTGCCAAATTCTGTGAAAAGGTTTGTTCAGACAGCGTCGATATGTAAGTGAGTGATATGATGTATCTGTAATATTAATATGTCACTAACGTATCAGGCTGCACTCCAGTGAAAGCAGGAATGTGGAAAAAAGGAAACCGAGAACATAAAGCTGTTGGGAAAGTGTTCAAATAACACGAACACCTGCAGACACCAGATTTACATACCGAGTGCAAACAAGACAGATTGAAATACAGAGATGAGGAGGAAACGAGCACAGCAGCATTTACAGCTGGAGAAGTCCGATCTCTGAATATACAGATCGGTTTCCATCTTTACAGACGAAACTAGAGTTTACAGAACAGTCTGCAGCTCTCTTCTACACTTAGACATCCCATTTACAGCCAGCATCTTAAAAACTTCATGCTGCAGCTCACCAACAAGTGAAACTGCAGACTGTAAACTTTCAGTCCAGTGTTTCACTTTAATCCAGTATTTTATTAGGATTTGAATTTGATAAGAAGGTATCGGTGTCTTGTGCTGCAGAATGAAAAGTATGCTTTATATTTGTTGGCATGTTTCATGATGATTTTGAGGCTAACGTGATTATTAATGTGTAATTAACAATGTTATTTTGCATAAATTGTAGAGAAATTAAACAATAACATCCCCAGACTTCTATGAGTTTTACCTGTAGCATGAGAGACTATATCAAAGAGTGGGATAGAGAGAGAGCGAATGAGACAGCGAGAGAAAGAGAGAGAATGAGAGAGAGAGAGAGAGCTGGAGAGAGAGTGAGTGTGAATGAAAAAAAGAGAGAGAGAGAGGAGAGAGAGAGAGAGAGGGAGAGAGGGCGAGAGAGAAAGTGATACAGCTGTTAAAACGCTGTTCTGAGACTGTCTGGCAGCTGAAGATAAATTATTAAAAAATCCTACTACAGCACACGCCAGTGCACACACACACACACACACACACACACACACACACACACACACACACACTCTGTCTCTCTCTCTCTCTCTCTCTCTGTCTCTCTGTCTCTCTCTCACTTTCTAGTAACAGTGTTTGTAAAAATTATGTACAATATGTATGAATAAAAACAGACCCCAAATCTGGGAACTCCACACTGAGCATCTCCTCCGTTCACCCTGTGTGTGTGTATATATGTGTGTGTGTGTGTGTGTGTGTGTGTATATGTGTACGTGTATATATATATATATATGTGTGTGTGTGTATGTGTGTGTGTGTGTGTGTGTGTGTGTGTGTGTGTGTAAGTGTTTATGAAAGATTAAGAGTTGCTAAATCACACATAAATGGGACGATTAATGTTGGCATAGCGACCAGACAGCAAATCTGGCAGCCTGCTTTCCTCACAACAGCCAATCAGCTCACAACACTGGGGTGACCAGAGTGGAGCGCTCAGAGAACTGAACTAACACTGAGCTGATACTGAACTGATGCTGAAATAACACTGAACTGATACTGAACCGATACTGAAATAACACTGAACTGACACTGAACTGATACTGAAATAACACTGAACTGATACTGAACTGATACTGAAATAACACTGAACTGATACTGAACTGATACTGAAATAACACTGAACTGCTATTGAACTGATACTGAAATGACACAAATTTAATACTGAACTTATATCACTGAACTAATATAATACTAAATGAATTATGGGAAACTAATACTGAGCTAAGAGTTAAATGACACTGAACTACACTAAAATAACACTGAACTGATACTGAACCGATACTGAAGTGATACTGAACTGATTCTCCTCCAAGCCTACAAAACACACACACACACACACACACACACACACACTGCCCCCCCTCCCCACTCACCCTCCTCCAGCTCGTCCAGGGTGGTGATCTTGCGCGCCCCGTCGATGGTGAAGATGAAGCGGACGCCCTGGGGCAGGTTGATGTGGTCGGACAGCGAGCGGGTCAGGTCGGCCAGCAGGGCGTCGAAGGTGCGGAACCGGTCGTTGGCCACGGCGTAAACGATGCCTTTGAAGTAGCGGTCCCCGTTGCGGTAGAAGCGGACCTTCTTGGCCTTCTTCTCGCTGGTGAGCGCCTGCAGGGTGCGCGTGCGGTAGAAGCTGCAGTGGGCGCTGTGGGTGGGGCTCGGCAGGCCGTTCGCTCGCCCACCCCGCGGGGCGCGGGACGCCTTGTCCCGCTCGTCAAAGTGACCGAAGTCCAGCTCCATGGAAAGGTGCTCTGCTGGGGCGTCCATGGTTGTGGTGAGGGTGAGGTCTTGGGCTGAGGAATTATGGGTAACTAGAGGGCAGAAGAAAAAGAGAGTTGCAGCGCTGATTATTGATGATGTGTGAGACATTCTTTGTCCTTTAATATAGTAAATAAACGAACAGTGAAGAGCAGATTAAACAGCAGAGGTGTTTAAAGGGATGAACACACTGAGTCACGTCTGTCTTGTTCGTGCTCTGGAGAACAGCATGTCTCCCTGAAAGGGCTGCGGTGTTGATAAAGGGCTGCTGACCCTGAGGAAGCGGCCTTGAGTCTGAAGGAACCGACTGAGAATTATAAGAACTCAGTTCTTGAGATTTTTATTATTAATTAGATCACCAGCTGAGAACGGAGGAGCACTGACGACTAAGAATGAACAAACAAACAAACGAATAGAGAAATTCAGACTCGGAGATAAACACAACGTCCTTAATCACATCAGCAGAGCCTCTCTCTTTCTCCCTCTCTCTCTCTCTGTCCCTCTCTCTCTCTCTGTCCCTCTCTCTCTCTGTCCCTCTCTCTCTCTCTTTCTCTCTGTCCCTCTCTCTCTCTCCCTCTCTATCTCTCTCTTTCTCCCTCTCTCTCTCTCTCCCTCTCTCTCTCTGTCCCTCTCTCTCTCTTTCTCTCTCTCTCTCTCTCCCTCTCTATCTCTCTCTTTCTCTCTCTGTCCCTCTCTCTCTCTCACTTTCTCCCTCTCCCTCCCTTTGTCCATTCCTTTTCTTTCCTTCCTTTCTCTTTCTTCTATTTGTCTCTCTCTTTCTTTCTCTTCTTTGTCTTTCCTCTCTCTCCTTCCTTTTTGTTTCTTTTCTCCATTTTCTCCTGCTCTCGCTCTATCCTTGCTCTCTGTCTATCAATTCTCTCCATCTCTCTTACCCTCTCCTTCCTCTCCCTCTCTCTGTCTTTCTACCCTTCCCATCCTTCCTCTTTGTCTGTCTTTTGTCTGTTTGTCTCTCTCTTGTTTCTCTATCTTTGTCCCTTACTCTCTCTATCTTCTCTTTCTCTATCCTCTCTCTCGCTCTCTCTCTCTCTCTCTCTCTCTCTCTCTCTCTCTCTCTCTCCCAGGTGTTTAATTTCTGCACAGTGTGAGAGTTGAATATTGTCCAATCAATTAGAAACTTCTGCATCGATTAGATCTACACGCACACACACACACACACACACACACACTCACACACACACACACACACACACACACACACACACACTCACACACACACACACTCTGTCCTTGCTGAAAGAGGAGATACAATTCAGAATAAGAAACTGAGTGGATCACAGCATTAATATTTCATACAAGACACTGAACGCCCCTCAACCCCAGCTCACACACACACACACACACACACACACACACACACACATATATAATATATAATACATGCACTCATCGACAGTCAATATGATATATACATCATATATACACTTATTGGTCAGAACCTGCAGACGCTGTTGGTCCCACTGCACGTCGGTGATGGAAACTGGAAGCTGTGTTTAATAAATAAATAATGTTTTTGAATTATTGAAGGTAATAAATACATTCTTATGGAGCCTATATTGTCCTCTCATATAGATATAACACATTGCACTGCTTTATGCATGGAAATAATTGTCCTTTAGAGGAAAATGAGAGCGAATTAGACAAATGTGATGCAGCACTGTAAGATAATTTCTTTTGGTAATAACCACTTTATCAGAACTGGCTGAAACAGACTTTTACAGGTCCATGTTTCTGAACAAGTACTCGAGTGATCGGTTCTTTTATTTGCCGTACGACACGTTGGTGGTAATTGTATCCAGCGGAACCAAGATGTAATTCCACTCTCTTGTAGCACGATACACATAAATATACAACAGAATAAATATGCAGTAAACAGTAAACAATACAATATACAAAATACGACATTTGGTATCAGAGAATCATTGAAAATTACACAATAACTTTATCTGTGCATTTTTACAAAGGCTGGAAATATTGCAGCCAGACCTCACTGCAGCAGGAAAAAAGCTGTTCTTAAAGCCGGTTCTCTTAGCTTTTAAAGATTTACGTGTTCTATCTGGAGCCCCTTGCTGGTGGGCTATAATTTTCATTGCTTAAAAAAAGACAAAGCTCCTGAATACTAAATAGAGAAGTGATTACCAACATATTGAAATATTACTTGAATATTCACATGATTTGGGCTCTGCAGTTTATATTCATAAAAGAAGAATTAATAGAATTAATAATTTAACACATTCACTGAATAAAACACTGTTAAACCAACATACACTTCTCTCAGTAGTCCATACAGACGGCAGGACAAAACACTATTCTTCACAATATAACCGTGTGTGTGTGAGTGTGTGTGTGTGTGTGTGTGTGTGTGTGTGTGTGTGTGTGTGTGTGTGTGTGTGTGTGTGTCCTACATTCAGTGTAGAAATGTCCGCTGAAGGACATCAGCTATTGTTGGACGGCCTCTGCGGACACAGATTTTGAGTAAAGGGGAGAGGCTGCCTCACTACAGGAACTAAATGTAGGGTGTCTGTGTGGGTGGGTGCACATATATATGCACAAAAACGTATGTAAACATATTCTATGCATGCAAACACATTATTCTGTATTTGTTGCTTTTGTTGTGTCCATGGCAACAGCTACACATCCCCATACAACTGTGCAAGGATGGCAGGACAAAACAGAACAATAAACAATAACTGATATAAAAACCACTGGCCACTTTATTAGAAACCCTTCCACAACCCTGTGGCCAGTGGTTTGTTTTGCTTTCTTTATTCATCATTATTATTATTATTATTATAACTGTACCTTCATACCTGTAACATCGTAGCTGTACTACTGTAACTGTACCATCATACCTGTAACATTGTAGCTGTACTACTATAACTGTACCATCGTACCTGTACTACTATAACTGCATCATCATACCCGTAACATCATACCTGTACTACTATAACTGCATCATCATACCCGTAACATCGTACCTGTACTACTGTAACTGTACCATCATACCTGTAACATCGTACCTGTACAACTATAACTGCATCATCAGTAACATGACGTCAGTAACATTTCAGTGGTTTCACAGTATCTGTGATATTGTACCTGTACCACTGTACCTGTATCAATGCACATCATACCTGTAGAGTGATACCTGTACTACTGAACCTGTTACATCATACCAGTAACACTGTACCTGTACTACTGCACCTTTATCAATGAACAAGTAACATTGTACCTGTCCAATTGTACCTGTACCATCATACCTGTAAAGTGGTTCTTGTCCAACTGTACCTGTACTATCATATTTCATAACACTGTACCTGTACTACTGTACCTGTATCAATGCACACGTAACATTATACCTGTCCAACTGTACCTGTACTGTCATACCAGTAAAGTGATACCTGTACTACTGCACCTGTAACATCATTCATGTAGCATATCAAGTATTGTGTTTAACCTGCAAAATTACACCTGTAACATGACATCAGTACCATTTCAGTGGTTTGACAGTATCTCTGATATTGTACCTGTACTACTGTAACTGTATCAATGTACCAGTAACATTGTACCTGTCCAACTGTACCTGTACTGTCATACCAGTAAAGTGATGCCTGTCCAACTGTACCTGTACCGTCATACCAGTAAAGTGATACCTGTACTACTGCACCTGTAACATCATACCAGTAACACTGTGCCTGTAGTATGGCACCAGCATCAATGCACCTTTAACACTGTACCTGTCTAACTTTACCTATACTATCATACACCGTTAGAAAAAAAAGCTATTGTGCAGGTAAGTTTCTGAATAAACAACGTAAATGTGCCCTCAAAGGTACAACAGTGGCTTTAAAATCCACCTGTGAACGTTAAATAAGACTCTCCTGGAGTAAAAGTATGTTTTTATATCTTTTCATAACCGAATGTTTTAAAACAGAACAGTAAAATAAAAGCCTGGAGACGAGACGGGGTGTGTGGAGTCAGTACAGCTTAAAAAACATATTTTAAATGGATTATAATACAATTATGTTCTCTAACTAAAGGGGCTGTAGACGCACTCTTGCGGGAACCACCCCAGTGGCTAACTTTTTTATTTTTTTTTTAGTGTGAACCTGTACAGTGGTCGCAGTACTACTGTACCCGCAACATCACACAACACCATGAGACTGGAAGCATTTTGGAATCCGAAACTTCAGGAACGCTGACACCTCGATTTACATGCTGGATGCAAATGAGAATGAATACATCTAAAAATATAATGATGATAAGCAAATGGACACGATGATTTGTTTTTCTGATCCCTTTTCTGGTAAACAGAGATCAACAAAGGGGGAAAAGGAGGAAAAAACATTTTAATTGTGTGTGAGGATCTTTGGAGTGTTATTCAAGCTCGTTAGCAGTGAAGGAGCGGGCAGTCCAGTGTTGATGTGGACAAATCCAGCCCTTCTGAGGAGTTACAACCACAGAAGAGGATAAATCAGCTACTGTTACTCTCTCTCTCTCTCTCTCTCTCTCTCTCTCTCTCTCTCTCTCTCTGTCTCTCTCTCTCTCTGTCTCTCTCTCTGGGCAGACTGAAGGGAGCTGGTGTAGTTGAAGTCTGGACTATTGATGTTGAAGTGGACAGACGCCAGAATCTCTAAAACACAGCTGCTCCTTTTCTCCTTTTCAGCGCTAAGAACTCTCTGCGTCCTCCCGAAGAAGAAAAGCGACAGAATGGCAAAGAGAGAGAGAGAGATAGAGAGAGAGAGAGAGAGAGAGAGAGAGAGAGAGAGAGAGAGAGAGAGAGAGAGAGAGAGAGAGAGAGAGAGAGAGAGAGAGAGAGGGATGCCTGTAGATTAGCACTGGGGCTAACTGTATCTTTTCACATCAGCAGTTTGGACAGAATTAAAAGATTAAGCAGCTGAAAGAAAATAAAAGCCCCCCTAAAACTGACGCCAAGCACAGACACACACACACACACACACACACACACACACACACACACACACTACTGTCCAGTCAGTCACAAACAGAAAGTTGACCAGCTTCAGCTGCATTCAGCGTTGCCAGATAGCTAAGCCTGTTTTTCTCCCCGTCGCTGACAGCGACAGGGTTGCCAGGTGTGCAGTTTTTACCCTGGACAGTTCTGAGCTCTGCTGTCCAGTTGGTCGTGTCAACCGGACATTAAAACGTCCAGACGAGTCTCGCTCTAAATGCATTCCACTTGTGGAGGGAGATAAAGTGCTGTTCTAGCTCTGTCACTGTGTCTCTCTCTTGCCGTGTTCTAGGCTTTGCGCTGTCGAATGATTCACTCTTGATTCATCGCGACACACATGGGTTCTCACATTGCCAAGTGAGCGTGTTCTGCAGCCGCTCCGCAAACCGCATACACTGTACTAACAGCACGTTAGAACAGTACGCCACTAACGCTGCCATTATGTTTTTTTAAGGGTCCTTTAGTGAAGAGAGTGGTTCTATTTAGAACCATGAGTTCTATATAGAACCATTTCAGGCGTAAATGGTTCCTTGCATAGTGAAATGGTTCTTCATATTGATGGAGAATGTGTTGTATATGGTTCTATACAGAACCTTTTTTGAAAGGCTCTATAAAGCAGTAAAGTGTTCCTTTATTGTACAAAATCTGAAAATTGAAAAAGATGGTTCTTAAAGGAATCATTAGCAATAAAAATGATTCTATATAGAACCATGAGCACTCATGGTTCTATATAGCACCAAAAAGGGTTACACTATTGTTACAAGCCAAAGAACCCTTTTTGGTACTATATAGAACCCTTTTTGCTAAGACTGTATATAAGGTTGATATCGTAGCAATAGCAGAACCCTTTTTGGTGCTACACAGGTTCTATACTGAGACATACAACACATTCTCCATCAATCTAATAAACTATTTCACCATGCAAAGAACCTTTTAAGCATGAAATGGTTCCATAAAGAACATTTTTTTTGGTAAAGACAATGATTCTATTTAGAACCACACGTCCTACGTAGAACCATTTAATGGTGAAATGGTTCTTCAGATTGATGGAGAGTTTGTTGAAATGGGTCTATACAGCAGCGAAAAGTGCTCCTTTATTGTTCCAGGTTTGGCATTGTAACAATAGAAGAACCCTGTTTGGTGCTATATAGAACCATGTACAACACATTCTCCATTAATCTGAAGAACCATTTCACCAGGCATAGAACCATTTGGGCATAAAATGATTCTCTGAGTTCACAGTTATACACAGAACCATTGTCTTTAATAAAGAACCCTTGAAGAACCATCTTTTTTAAGACTGAAGTAGCAATGAAAGAGCACACTGGTGGGCGGAGCTTGGAGGGAGAGCCCGTACTAATGCTCAGTGTGTCACAGATACAAACACACAGTTAACACACCCTCCACTGTTTTACTCCTCATGTGTGTGTGTGTGTTTGTGTGTGTGTGTGTGTGTGTGTGTGTGTGTGTGTGAGGGTGAACAGCGTCTACCTCATCAGTCTTACTAAAACTGTGGTCATCTGCTGTCTTTACTGCCCCTGGGGTATTTACCCCCAGCAGGCCATTCAGCTACAAACCTCCTTTTGTTGCCCCTCTGTTGCCTCGTCAATACACACTCTGCTACCCCCTCAGCGCATCCGTCTGTACTGTAACAATTTCCTTCAGCTTTAAAAAGTACGTAACCTGCCTGCCTTCAAATTTAGACTTTACTCGTCCACCTCTAAAAGCTCCCTCACAGAAAGTTACTACAGTAAATGGTTATGAATTCACTGCCTGATGACTGAGACACTGTTTTATGATAGTTTTGAGAAGATTTTGGCTTTACACTCCATTCATGGTGGAGGGATACATAACATGCAGGGTGCTGTGAGGCAAAATAGTCGGAGATTCTGGGGTCCGCATCTTCAGTTCCCTGAAGACGCTACGATCTAGGGCTCGTTGGAAAAGGCTCATCATGCTCTACTGAGCTGTGGAGTTTGGCTTTGTTCCAACATTTCTCCACTGATCTACAGAGCTTCAAAGATCAGATATTGAACATTGTTATCTTTGGTTTCCTGAAGACATCAATAAAGGTCACGTCTGGTTGGAGAGGAGTATAACACCCTGTAATCCTGTACAGCTTGTAGTTGGTTGTTCTTATTTTCACCAAGTTACGGCGCTCTAAATTTCTCTGGCTCTCTGGACCTCCACTGTGGGCGAGCGTCTCAGCAAGGCCGTCTAGGGGGCGCCTAAGTAGGATACAAATTAGCAAGATTTCGGGGTCCGTATCTCTGGTTCCCTGAAGGCTAGCAATGCGATCCAGGGCTCATAGGGTTTGGCTTTGTTCTAACATTTCTCCACTGATCTACAGAGCTTCAAAGATCAGACATTGAGCGTCATTATCTCCAGTTTCCTGAAGACTACAACATAAAGTCCTGTGTGGTTGGAGAGGTTGGAGAGCGTAACACCCTGTAATCCTGCACAGTTTGAAGTCGGTTACTCTTATTTTTTCTGAGTTATGGCGCTCTAAATTTCTCTGGCTCTCCTGACCACCACCGCAGACGAGCATCTCGGCAGGGCCGCCTGGGGCGCGCCTAAGTAGGATACAAATTTGCGAGATTCCGGGGTCTGTATCTCCGGTTCCCTGAAGGCTAGCAATGCAATCCAGGGCTTGCTGGAAAGGCCACGTCACGCTCTACTGACCTGTGGCTTTGTCATGGATTTTTAAAGTCAGATTTTTAAAGTCGCTTGTTGTAAATCATCCCTTCTCCTGTGGTTTTATTCACGACATCATCAGCGATTAGTCACCTTAACTCTCATCACAAAGCTGTCGACTTTAAAAGATCTGAAGTCGTTTGATCCACAAATACAAACTGTAATTTCTTTATGGCTTCTCATTCACCGGCTTCTCATTCAAATTTCCTAAACTGTGCAGAACGTAACAGCAGCACCATTTAAGGTGGACTGGAGAATTCATATAGGAGGCCAGTTTTAGCCTCGTAGTTCCTACACACTAAAGACAAAAGATGGTTCCTCAAGCGTTCTTTGGTAAAAGGAATGGTTCAATTTAGAGCCAGGAGTTCTACATAGAAACGTTTCAGGCTTACATGGTTCCCCGCATGGTAAAATGGTTCTTCAGATTGATGGAGAATGTGATGTATATGGTTTAAACCAGACTCTATTGTATACAAATACATACATATACACATACATTGACATTGTGACAATAGCAGAACCCTTTCTGGCGCTACATAGAACCAAATACAACACATTCTCCATAAAGATTTCACAATGCAAAGATTCATTTAAGGCACGAAATGGTTCTAAACAGAACGATTCCCTTTACTAAATAACTCTTGAAGAACCATCTTTGTTAACCGTCTATGCTCATAGATGCAGGATAGACTAAGAAGTTCCACTGCTTTTCTTATAGGGTTCTACTGGGGAACCCAGCACTGCAGAGTGTTTGGATCTGAGACTTTTAGAGTTTTCAGACTTTGACGCTGATTTACGCTGCTTTTGCTGCAGTTAATGTTTCCCTGAGGTCACAGCATGTTTACTGGACGATGGGTTTGGGCTCCTCCACACACATCTGCTGTCAACACACACGTCCTCACATCTGTCTCTCACTCGTTCTTTGTCTCTCATACACATTAATGCACTCTCACACAGACTGTTCACCCAATCAATATCCCCTCGTCAATATCCAAACTTAATCTTAACCCCATTGTGTCACATCAAGCAGGTCATCAATAAACGTCAATAAGCGTCCAGCCTGAGTTTGGCCAGTTGTGGGTTTGGATTTGTTTGGGAAAAAAACAAAAAAAAATGGGGAAGTAAATTTCTGACGACTTGAAAATTGAATGCATTTTGATTCAGGATCATTATTTTCAATTTAAAAATAACTAAATATATGAATGTTTTATGGCTGGTGAAACTGTTATAGACTGAAATATGCACAATGAAAACAACATTTTATCAGATTCTTAAGTCTTTTATTATAAAAAATCAACTTTAATCTTAACAGCTTCAGATACACTGCAAAAAATGTATCTTAGCAAGTGAGCTCATCTTAAATATAGTTAAAATATATAATATTTCTCATGCTGAGATTGTTTTAAGCCTACTATACTATTATGTAGCTAATTTCTGGAGATTTTTACTTGTTTCAGTGATTTCAGTAAGTCAAATGATCTCACCAAACTGGCATATAATTTTGTTTGTAAGAAATATGCCTGAAACAAGATATAATGAGATTATTTGACTCACAAAAATCACTTAAAACAAGTAAAATGTCTAGAAATAAGTTAAATAGTCTTATAATAAGCTGACAACACTCTCAACATGATAAATATTAGATATAATTTAATACAATGACTAGATTTAAGATCACTTGTCAGTTGCTTGCAGTTTACTTACATTAATCATGCAAAGGGTTCTTTGAGTGTTCAGGGTTCAATATAGAACCATTTGTTTGCTAAAGAACCCTTGAAGCACCATCTTTTTGAAGAGAGTGAAAACTAAGCTCATTATCAATTTCTGTTCCTGCGTATTTGAAATGAGTGACTTGAATTCTCGATGTTTTACTGTCTATCTCTTCATCGGTTC